CTGATTCTGCCGGCGGCGGTGACTGAGAATGTTCTCCACCACATAGCGGGCATGACCATCAAGGTCCGTGATAGGCGGAGGCGTAGGCTGTCTCCTATTAGGAATAGCGTTCTTCTCGTAGGCACGGAGTGCCGACACATTAAATACCGGGTGACAGCGGCTGGTATGAGGCAACTTGAGCTTGTAGGCATTCGGGCCGACCACATGGGTTATAGGAAAGGGGCCAAACCACTTGGGGCGTAATTTATGGGATGGTCGGTCCCGAGCTTCAGGAGTCAGGAGGAAATCCCTGTAGACCATTACCAAATCTCCCACCTTCAGCTTTCCCTCGACCCTTGTCCGATCTGCATAGAAGGCCTGACGAGCTTGAGCTGCCACTAGCGCATCTTGTGAGATCTTGACCGCGTCTTGTCTTGCTTGCAACCAATCAGCTGAATCTCTGCCTCCCTGAATAGGGTTGAGGAAGTCGGGTGGCGCTCTGGGATTTAGACCGTAATTTAAGAAGAACGGTGTGTTTCCTGTAGATGATTGAGTAGCGCTGTTGATAGAAAACTCACAGAGAGGTAGGAGCATATCCCAGTTATCTTGTTTATGATTTACAAAAGCCCTCAGCACATCCTCTACTATTCTGTTTACTCGTTCAGTTAGGCCATCTGTCTGAGGGTGATTGGCAGTACTAAATGCTAGTTTCGTTCCTAAGCGATCAAACAATTCCTGAAAAAATGCTGCCGTAAATCTTGGATCACGATCACATACAATACTAGAACTCAAACCATGAAGTCGAAATACATGTTGAATATACAGATCAGCACTTCCTTTAGCGTCAATAGTAGAGGAAGTAGGTGCTAAATGTACACACTTTGTCAAGCGGTCTACAAATACATATATAGCATCATGACCTGTATCGGTCCTAGGCAAACCCATGATAAAATCCATCGAGATATCCGCCCACGGCTGACTGGGCACTGGTAAATTCTGCAAGAGACCAGTTTTTAGCTGGCCGCCTTTAACTCGTTGGCAGACGTCACATGACTTGACAAACGCCTTTACATCCAGTCCCATTCTGGGCCAATAGAAATATCTAGAGAGTCTAAAATAGGTGCGATCTCGACCGGGATGCCCCGCAGTCACACAGTCATGGTATTCTTGAAGCAGGGCGAGTCGGAGTTTGCTACTCTTTGGAATGCATAACCTGTTCTGTGGTGAAGATCTGAGATAAAGATAACCGGGTGTTTCATTTAGAAGGTAACGGTCGTGCAGATTGTCATGGCTTGAATTTTTCAGTCTCCTGATAATGGGAGCAAGATCCTTGTCGCACTTGTAACCGCTGACAATTAACTGCGCTAAGTCTGGATTAATCTCTAGGGTATGCTCTATGGCATTCAACTGAATGTTAGGAGGATAGGATGACCCGCCTATTTCAGAATCACTGAACAGATCTGGACGGCGTGAAAGCGGGTCGGCAATGTTTTTCTTTCCTGGTTTGTGAAAGACCGTAAAGTCATAGTCAGCTAAAAACTCTACCCATCTTGCCTCACGCTTGGTGAGAGTCGGTTTGGTTCGTAAATAGACAACACCCATATTATCAGTCATCAGGTCAAAGTGGCGGAATAGATAGATTCTCCAGCACTTTAATGCAAATACCACAGCCAACGTTTCCCTCTCGGCCGCAGTATAGTTGCGTTCTGCAGCTGACAGTTTCCGACTACAATAGGCTACGGGATGCAAATCCATATCTTCTCCCTGCTGCAGGAGCACACCCGCCACGGCAAAGTCACTTGCGTCAGTTTCTACCATGAAGCTTTTCTCAACATCGGCCAGTTGCAACACTGGCGCCTCGAGTAATGCTGATTTTAGAGACTCGAATGCCTTCTGTCTAGCAGCGCTCCATTCAAAGCGTGAATTTTTTCCGGTGATTTCTTCTAATGGACGAGAGATGGTCGAGTGTCGATCTATGAACCTTCGGAAATAGTTTGCAAAGCCAAGAAACTTCCTCACATCAGTTACTGACGACGGAGTTGGCCATGTTTCCACAGCACTTATCTTCTTGGGATCAGGGGAAATTGATGTGCCGTTGATTTTATGCCCCAAGAAGAGAACTTCTCTCACGCCGAATTCGCATTTAGACTGTTTGCAATACAGCTCACTATTTCTAAGTGTTTCTAGAACTGTTTGAAGATGATGCTGATGATCTTCCCAGGTCTTGCTGAAAACTAGAATGTCATCCAAGAATACTACAACGAATTTTCGGAGATGCGGTTGCAGAATAGAGTTCATGAGTGACTGAAAGGTGGCCGGGGCATTAGTCAGCCCGAATCCCATGACTCTAAATTGGAAGTGGCCGAACGGCGTATTAATGGCCGTCTTAGAAACATCCGAGTCTTGAATTCTGATTTGATTGTAGCCTGACCGCAAGTCCAACTTGGAGAAATATGCACTGCCCTGGATCGTGTCGAATAAGTCATCAATATTAGGAAGACAAGCTTTGTTTTTGATCGTAATTCTATTCAATTCTCGCCAATCGCACACCATTCTCAGAGTGCCATCCGACTTTTTCACAAAAAACACAGGTGCACCGTATGGCGACTTACTTGGCTCAATGAATCCCTTCTCAAGTAATTCTGATAGCTGTGACTGGAGCTCGTCCATCTCTGGTTTCGGCAGGCGGTAGGCGGGTCGAGACGGTGGTCTGGCTCCATCTTCTATCTGGATTTCATGGTCGACTGGTCTCTTCGGTGGAAGCTCATTCGGCAGCTCGTCTGGAAATAAATCCTGGTACCTCTTGAGCAGGTTCTGGATGTCTTGTTGCTCTGATTCCTGGAGTTGTGGCCCTGAACGATTCTCCTCGTTTGCAGCAGTGACCCATGCAAGAAACCCCTCGGCTCCACTCCTCAGGGCATGACGAGCTTGTCGGCCACTGATAAACATGCTTTCCACAGATGGCCGGTCGGCTGTCGGCGGGTTAGCTGAAGGCAATTTGGCAACAAAGGGCTCACCGTCCAACTGAACTTCGTTCGTACGGAAGTTGATGCTGGGGTTGTTCCTTGTAAGCCACGGCTTGCCAAGAATAGCGTCGTAGCGAGTCAGGGGATACACAGTAAAGTGCTGTTCCTCACTGAAGCCCCCGACTGTCACCCTTAGCGTGCGTGTGGAAATTTGCGGGACCTCGCTGGTCGAGCCGTCCGCCAATGTTACGCTCAGCACTGCTGAGCTTGCATCCGTGTCAAGATGATGCTTTCGAACAAAACTGTCTGCAATGAAGTCATGCGTCGAACCGGAATCTATCAGCATCACTGCACGGCGACCGCCGATCTTTCCCTGTATGCGCAGTAGGTCGTGTTCAGGTTCATTGCCGACGCTGACGTTGCTGACATGACACCTTTCTGCAACGGGACAATTTCCTACAGCTATGGGTGTCTCCGGCTCCGTAGGTTCCTGGAGAGCAACGTCTTCAACCTCCAGAGCTCCGAACCGGTTAGCGACTGGTACCGGCGTGGGCGCTTGGGTCGTCGCCAGTAAGCGCACCCCCTTTCTTACTGGCGACCAGCGTTTGGGTAGCGCTGTCCACCCTCAGTACAGTCTTTAGCGAGGTGGCCTGGCTTCCTGCAAGCAAAGCAGTGTCCCATTGCTCGCAGTTGGACACGCTCTTGGTCCGTCAGCTTGCGGAGGCCCTGACCACGGAAGCTGGGCACGGAACGCGACTCTCTACTGGCTGGTGGCCCCGACGCCGGTGGCCCTGACGACTGCTCCACGGTGTTTGCTGCCATGACAGCTTGCTCCAGGGTACGTGGATGCTCACGCATGACCTGTCGCTGGATGTGCGGCACTAGACCCCTGACGAACAGCAGCGCTCTGGTGTGGTGGTCGATTTCCGGCACTTGCAGGCTGAGGCGAGTGAAAGCAGCAATGTATGCGTCCAGCGACCCGCGCTGCGCTGCGGAAATTAGTCCCATACGCGATGTTTCCTCGTTGTGCCGTGGTCCGTACACATCGCCAAGTGCCGCTTTCAGAGCAGGCCAGTCGGAAAACACTTGGTTAGCTTCCAATGCCGCTATCAACCAAAGACGAGCGTTTCCAGTCAAAAATCCTGCCGCGTAGTCGACCCTCTGTGCCGCATTTGGGAGTGCCAACGACCGTAGGGCCATGTCCATTGCAAACGTCCATTCTTTGAATGTAGCGGAATCTCCTCCAAACACAGGCGGCTCTTTCGTAAGGCGGGGTGTTGGCTCCCACGGTTCCGAGTTCGGATGTATCGTTCGGTTTCCTTGGCTAACGCGCTGAGCGGTCTTGATATCGTTTATCAGCCGAACGACGAGTACGAGGAGCGTAAGCAGAGCGACCAGAACACCTGCCAAAAACAGAGTAGTAACCATCCTCTGCTACCAGTGTAACAGGTTTAATCAAACTTGAAAAGTAAGAGGCCTGGTTGAGCGTGCCTCGACCAGTTATATGCAAAATGTGATAGTATACATGTGGCAATGGCGCCAATGAAGGTGCTAATAGACAGGCGTAAGACGCATGAGGTGCGAGGGAGTGTAAAGTTATAGAGAACAGGGGAAAACTGTTACACCGAGACTCCCGCAGCAGGGCCGATAAATTGCCAGCTGACCACAAAGAAAGCCTCTTTCGTAGAAACTTCCTGTGGTCAGCGGCGGCTGAGGTGTTGAACGGCCTCTGCAGCAGAAGGTGGCACGCAACGACTACGGCAGACCACGCAAACGCCCGAGCCCCTGATCCATCTGTGAAAAGGCCAATCAATCTGGAAAGTTCCTTGACAAAGTCCTCACCTTCAGCGCCGAAGGGGACGATAAATAAATTCCTTTTCCAAGACACAGCCTCACTGTAGGCCGAATCCAGCAACTGTGCAGCCTCTCCACTCCGCAGAGCCCACTACTACTACTACTACTACTACTACTACTACTACTACTACTACTACTACTACTACTACTACTACTACTACTACTACTACTACTACTACTACTACTACTACTACTACTACTACTACTACTACTACTACTACTACTACTACTACTACTACTACTACTACTACTACTACTACTACTACTACTACTACTACTACTACTACTACTACTACTACTACTACTACTACTACTACTACTACTACTACTACTACTACTACTACTACTACTACTACTACTACTACTACTACTACTACTACTACTACTACTACTACTACTACTACTACTACTACTACTACTACTACTACTACTACTACTACTACTACTACTACTACTACTACTACTACTACTACTACTACTACTACTACTACTACTACTACTACTACTACTACTACTACTACTACTACTACTACTACTACTACTACTACTACTACTACTACTACTACTACTACTACTACTACTACTACTACTACTACTACTACTACTACTACTACTACTACTACTACTACTACTACTACTACTACTACTACTACTACTACTACTACTACTACTACTACTACTACTACTACTACTACTACTACTACTACTACTACTACTACTACTACTACTACTACTACTACTACTACTACTACTACTACTACTACTACTACTACTACTACTACTACTACTACTACTACTACTACTACTACTACTACTACTACTACTACTACTACTACTACTACTACTACTACTACTACTACTACTACTACTACTACTACTACTACTACTACTACTACTACTACTACTACTACTACTACTACTACTACTACTACTACTACTACTACTACTACTACTACTACTACTACTACTACTACTACTACTACTACTACTACTACTACTACTACTACTACTACTACTACTACTACTACTACTACTACTACTACTACTACTACTACTACTACTACTACTACTACTACTACTACTACTACTACTACTACTACTACTACTACTACTACTACTACTACTACTACTACTACTACTACTACTACTACTACTACTACTACTACTACTACTACTACTACTACTACTACTACTACTACTACTACTACTACTACTACTACTACTACTACTACTACTACTACTACTACTACTACTACTACTACTACTACTACTACTACTACTACTACTACTACTACTACTACTACTACTACTACTACTACTACTACTACTACTACTACTACTACTACTACTACTACTACTACTACTACTACTACTACTACTACTACTACTACTACTACTACTACTACTACTACTACTACTACTACTACTACTACTACTACTACTACTACTACTACTACTACTACTACTACTACTACTACTACTACTACTACTACTACTACTACTACTACTACTACTACTACTACTACTACTACTACTACTACTACTACTACTACTACTACTACTACTACTACTACTACTACTACTACTACTACTACTACTACTACTACTACTACTACTACTACTACTACTACTACTACTACTACTACTACTACTACTACTACTACTACTACTACTACTACTACTACTACTACTACTACTACTACTACTACTACTACTACTACTACTACTACTACTACTACTACTACTACTACTACTACTACTACTACTACTACTACTACTACTACTACTACTACTACTACTACTACTACTACTACTACTACTACTACTACTACTACTACTACTACTACTACTACTACTACTACTACTACTACTACTACTACTACTACTACTACTACTACTACTACTACTACTACTACTACTACTACTACTACTACTACTACTACTACTACTACTACTACTACTACTACTACTACTACTACTACTACTACTACTACTACTACTACTACTACTACTACTACTACTACTACTACTGCTACTGCTACTGCTACTGCTACTGCTACTGCTACTGCTACTGCTACTGCTACTGCTACTGCTACTGCTACTGCTACTGCTACTGCTACTGCTACTGCTACTGCTACTGCTACTGCTACTGCTACTGCTACTGCTACTGCTACTGCTACTGCTACTGCTACTGCTACTGCTACTGCTACTGCTACTGCTACTGCTACTGCTACTGCTACTGCTACTGCTACTGCTACTGCTACTGCTACTGCTACTGCTACTGCTACTGCTACTGCTACTGCTACTGCTACTGCTACTGCTACTGCTACTGCTACTGCTACTGCTACTGCTACTGCTACTGCTACTGCTACTGCTACTGCTACTGCTACTGCTACTGCTACTGCTACTGCTACTGCTACTGCTACTGCTACTGCTACTGCTACTGCTACTGCTACTGCTACTGCTACTGCTACTGCTACTGCTACTGCTACTGCTACTGCTACTGCTACTGCTACTGCTACTGCTACTGCTACTGCTACTGCTACTGCTACTGCTACTGCTACTGCTACTGCTACTGCTACTGCTACTGCTACTGCTACTGCTACTGCTACTGCTACTGCTACTGCTACTGCTACTGCTACTGCTACTGCTACTGCTACTGCTACTGCTACTGCTACTGCTACTGCTACTGCTACTGCTACTGCTACTGCTACTGCTACTGCTACTGCTACTGCTACTGCTACTGCTACTGCTACTGCTACTGCTACTGCTACTGCTACTGCTACTGCTACTGCTACTGCTACTGCTACTGCTACTGCTACTGCTACTGCTACTGCTACTGCTACTGCTACTGCTACTGCTACTGCTACTGCTACTGCTACTGCTACTGCTACTGCTACTGCTACTGCTACTGCTACTGCTACTGCTACTGCTACTGCTACTGCTACTGCTACTGCTACTGCTACTGCTACTGCTACTGCTACTGCTACTGCTACTGCTACTGCTACTGCTACTGCTACTGCTACTGCTACTGCTACTGCTACTGCTACTGCTACTGCTACTGCTACTGCTACTGCTACTGCTACTGCTACTGCTACTGCTACTGCTACTGCTACTGCTACTGCTACTGCTACTGCTACTGCTACTGCTACTGCTACTGCTACTGCTACTGCTACTGCTACTGCTACTGCTACTGCTACTGCTACTGCTACTGCTACTGCTACTGCTACTGCTACTGCTACTGCTACTGCTACTGCTACTGCTACTGCTACTGCTACTGCTACTGCTACTGCTACTGCTACTGCTACTGCTACTGCTACTGCTACTGCTACTGCTACTGCTACTGCTACTGCTACTGCTACTGCTACTGCTACTGCTACTGCTACTGCTACTGCTACTGCTACTGCTACTGCTACTGCTACTGCTACTGCTACTGCTACTGCTACTGCTACTGCTACTGCTACTGCTACTGCTACTGCTACTGCTACTGCTACTGCTACTGCTACTGCTACTGCTACTGCTACTGCTACTGCTACTGCTACTGCTACTGCTACTGCTACTGCTACTGCTACTGCTACTGCTACTGCTACTGCTACTGCTACTGCTACTGCTACTGCTACTGCTACTGCTACTGCTACTGCTACTGCTACTGCTACTGCTACTGCTACTGCTACTGCTACTGCTACTGCTACTGCTACTGCTACTGCTACTGCTACTGCTACTGCTACTGCTACTGCTACTGCTACTGCTACTGCTACTGCTACTGCTACTGCTACTGCTACTGCTACTGCTACTGCTACTGCTACTGCTACTGCTACTGCTACTGCTACTGCTACTGCTACTGCTACTGCTACTGCTACTGCTACTGCTACTGCTACTGCTACTGCTACTGCTACTGCTACTGCTACTGCTACTGCTACTGCTACTGCTACTGCTACTGCTACTGCTACTGCTACTGCTACTGCTACTGCTACTGCTACTGCTACTGCTACTGCTACTGCTACTGCTACTGCTACTGCTACTGCTACTGCTACTGCTACTGCTACTGCTACTGCTACTGCTACTGCTACTGCTACTGCTACTACTGCTACTGCTACTGCTACTGCTACTGCTACTGCTACTGCTACTGCTACTGCTACTGCTACTGCTACTGCTACTGCTACTGCTACTGCTACTGCTACTGCTACTGCTACTGCTACTGCTACTGCTACTGCTACTGCTACTGCTACTGCTACTGCTACTGCTACTGCTACTGCTACTGCTACTGCTACTGCTACTGCTACTGCTACTGCTACTGCTACTGCTACTGCTACTGCTACTGCTACTGCTACTGCTACTGCTACTGCTACTGCTACTGCTACTGCTACTGCTACTGCTACTGCTACTGCTACTGCTACTGCTACTGCTACTGCTACTGCTACTGCTACTGCTACTGCTACTGCTACTGCTACTGCTACTGCTACTGCTACTGCTACTGCTACTGCTACTGCTACTGCTACTGCTACTGCTACTGCTACTGCTACTGCTACTGCTACTGCTACTGCTACTGCTACTGCTACTGCTACTGCTACTGCTACTGCTACTGCTACTGCTACTGCTACTGCTACTGCTACTGCTACTGCTACTGCTACTGCTACTGCTACTGCTACTGCTACTGCTACTGCTACTGCTACTGCTACTGCTACTGCTACTGCTACTGCTACTGCTACTGCTACTGCTACTGCTACTGCTACTGCTACTGCTACTGCTACTGCTACTGCTACTGCTACTGCTACTGCTACTGCTACTGCTACTGCTACTGCTACTGCTACTGCTACTGCTACTGCTACTGCTACTGCTACTGCTACTGCTACTGCTACTGCTACTGCTACTGCTACTGCTACTGCTACTGCTACTGCTACTGCTACTGCTACTGCTACTGCTACTGCTACTGCTACTACTACTACTACTACTACTACTACTACTACTACTACTACTACTACTACTACTACTACTACTACTACTACTACTACTACTACTACTACTACTACTACTACTACTACTACTACTACTACTACTACTACTACTACTACTACTACTACTACTACTACTACTACTACTACTACTACTACTACTACTACTACTACTACTACTACTACTACTACTACTACTACTACTACTACTACTACTACTACTACTACTACTACTACTACTACTACTACTACTACTACTACTACTACTACTACTACTACTACTACTACTACTACTACTACTACTACTACTACTACTACTACTACTACTACTACTACTACTACTACTACTACTACTACTACTACTACTACTACTACTACTACTACTACTACTACTACTACTACTACTACTACTACTACTACTACTACTACTACTACTACTACTACTACTACTACTACTACTACTACTACTACTACTACTACTACTACTACTACTACTACTACTACTACTACTACTACTACTACTACTACTACTACTACTACTACTACTACTACTACTACTACTACTACTACTACTACTACTACTACTACTACTACTACTACTACTACTACTACTACTACTACTACTACTACTACTAACGTTACACTACTGGGCGGTTGAGCTTTTTGCTCCTCCGTTATTCTCTAATTTCCTACTCCACTGTTCTATTCTATCGGTTTGAAACCTTTTTCATTACTTTCCTTGTGACACGTGGAGTCGGCTCGCGTAGTTTGCTTCCTCCTGGGCTCGTCCAGCCTGCCAATTCTTCATCCAGGTGGTTTCTTGCGCTTCGAATCGGCCATTATAGTCTTTGTTCCGTGCTGGGCACGTTTGAGCGTGCGGGCCCTGGGCCCTGTTTGAGCTGGCTTGCTGTGCTGTGCACACTTTGCGGTTTGGCCCTGTACTGCCTGGTTGGTGGCATACTATGCAGTGGCGCTCTGGATGTGTACTTCAAACTAGTACTTGGTATGGGACGAGTCGAGTTGACACTACTCACTAGACGCATCGGCTGACTTCGCGCTAAGCTTCTGCTTCCTGCTCCGACCGTCTTCGTTTGTACGTCACGGCTCCTCCAATACTCACGGCGCTGGCGTGAGTGCGGCCCGTGTCTTGGCGCTTGGCCGAGGCTACTATTACCTGATACTAGTACTGGTGCCGGTAATAGTAGCGCGTACGCGCGTACTCTCAGAAGAGCTGTGCAGCATGGTCTTCGCCTATGCTGTGTGCTGCTGAAGCGTTGCTAGGAGAATGTCCCGCTCGCGTATGGTGGGTTCTCGACCCTGTTGCTCCTGTAACAGAGCGTCAGGAACTTGCCGGTCATGTTCCTGTGCGGCAGATGGGAGGTGCTGCATTAATTGTTACCCAGGGAGAGACGATAAATGTACAAACTTTGGTAATGCCAATCTGCAAGCCACAGCTGTTGTAGTCGGAGCTATAGGTTCTTTGCCGGACGCTCCGCCTGTTTGTGCCCCTGGTTGGGTACCCCGCAGCTCACGGGAGGTGCCGGGCTCGGGCTCACGGGAGGTGCCGGGCTCGGGCTCCGTGTCATCTGTCTCCGGTACCGTGTCATCTACATGTATTTCGCAATCTCGCACAATAGTGACTTGCAACTCCGCCGCTGCATCATCGCCGACTATTGATTCCGGGACACTGCCTCGGAAGTCATTGCGTGTGGAACTGCCTGTCCCTCCGCTCTTGAGAGAAAATGATAATAGCACCAGGTCCATTGTGTCCAGTATCTCGGAATGTGGGACCCCAAATGGACAATGTGTGCGTGTGGATATGACCCGGAATGGAGGCCAGGTGATTGGTGATTCTCTCCTTCGTGACAATCCTCGTCCTGCGCCGGCTGCTGTGACTGCAACTGCTCCCCGCCCTGGAATCATTTCCGCTGGTCCGGTGGTGGGTGACGCTGCTGATGTATCCTCATCCATATGGGGTAGAGGTCCTGAGTTAATTGATTGGATGCGCCAGTCATATCAGAAGGTGGTCACCTGGAGACGGAATCTGTTCATGGTGCCTTCTGGTCTTCAGCGCCCTGGTCGGGATAGCACGAGTCAGGACAACGTGTTGCACCTGCGGCGGCGCCTAGACAGCTGGTCGTCTGGTCATCTCTCTGAACTGCTCTCGGAAGGGAGATGTATACAGGCTCATATTCCGATTGGTAGCCATGCAGCTAGCGAGTCCGATGTTATGTCGGATACAGTGTTTGCGAATCTCGTTCACCGTGGCAACTTACATCGTGCCATGGCGGGTTTATCCCAGGGTGGTGGTGGTAGACCTCTCAAGCCAAATGAAATCGCAGTACCTTCCACTGGTGCGACGGTTCTGGATGTACTTTGCGATAAGCACCCGACTCCTGTGGAGCCACCTGAAACCGTTTTGTTGGAGAATGATGCAGCACCGGTCAATGACATAATATTTGAAGGTATTTCAGCAGCAGGCATTAAGAGGGTGGCTGGCAGTATGAAGGGATCCGGTGGTCCGTCTGGCCTGGACGTGCAGGCCTGGCAGCGTATGCTCTCGGCCTTTAAAGGTGCTTCTTCAAATTTGGCTGCCGCTCTTGCTGCTGCTGCCAAGAGGATATGCACGACGGATGTAGACCCTGCTTCTCTGTCGGCTTTTGTTGCGGCACGGCTCGTGGCATTGGACAAGAGACCAGGTGTGCGCCCGATTGCGGTGGGGGAAGTCGCTCGCCGGATCATCGCTAAGGCTGTGTTGCAGTGTATATCGTCTGATATTGCGACAGCCGTGATCCCTCATCAGCTGTGTGTTGGTGTGCCGGCGGCTTGTGAGGCGGCTGTGCGTGCCGTCCAGGAACAATATCTCGCCGATGACACTGATGCCATCTTACTCATCGATGCATCTAATGCCTTTAACGCAATCAACAGGAAGGCCGCCTTGCATAATATCGCACGTGTGTGTCCACCGATGGAAAAAAATTGTCGTAATACATATGGTGCGGATATTCCACTATTTCTTCCTGGTGGCGTAGTATTGTACTCGCGCGAGGGAACTTGTCAGGGAGACCCTCTGGCCATGGCCATGTTTGCTCTTGCGGTGGCTCCTATGATTTGTAAACTCCGTGAACAGCACCCTGAGGTGAACCAATGCTGGTACGCGGATGATGGCGAGTCTGGTGGCAGATTGCCGGCCGTGCATTCGTTTTGGAAATCAATCGAGGAGATTGGCCCGAAGTATGGATATTACCCTAATGCAGCCAAGACAGTTCTGCTGGTGAAACCCGCCCTGGAGTCAGAAGCCCAAGAGCTGTTCGACCCAACGGGTATACGTGTGCTGACCAATGGTGTTCGTTATCTTGGTGGGGCCATTGGTGAGGAGGAATTTGTACAGGAGAGTCTGTGTCGTCATGTTTCCGTATGGTGCAGGGAGGTCGGTACTCTCTCCACTCTGGCGGAAACCCAGCCACATGCTGCATATTCTGTTTTCTCCCGTGGATTGAGGTCGCGTTGGCGCTACCATATGTGCTCACATGGCTTGCCGGAGCCGGATGCTTTCGGCAGGCTAGATAATGTGATTGACAACAATTTGATACCAGCAATCACTGGTGGGAAGAACATGTCCGCCATTGAGCAGAGTCTCATCGGCTTGCCTGTTAAGTCCGGTGGTCTCTCAATTCCTGCCATTGGGCCTCATGCAGTGCATCAGTGGACCTCCAGTATGGCCTCGGCACGGCCGGTGATTGATTTGCTTCGTCGCCCTGATGCTGACATTGCTCCGGCTGATTTGCAGGGGGAGGTAATGGCGTTGCGAAATGCCGAACGTCGGAGAATGGCTACTGCGGCTAAGGAGGCTCAGGTTGCTTTGCATCCTGAGCTCAGCCCATGTCAGCGAGTGCTGTTGGAGATTGCTGCTGATGCTGGCGTGTCCAGTTGGCTAACGGCTGAGCCTCTGGCTGTGAACGGCTTTGCGTTAAATAAAGCATGTTTCCGGGATGGTCTCGCCCTGCGCTATGGCTGGGGTATTGATGGCCTCCCACCAACTTGTGTGAGTGGTAGAGACATGTCTGTCGACCATGCATTGACATGCCCTACAGGGGGCTACCCAAGTCTGCGACACAATGAGCTTCGTTATGTGCTGGTGGAGGTGATGACTTCTGCCATCCCGGATGTTCAAACAGAGCCACCGCTTTTGCCGTTGGATGGTGAACAACTTCACGGCGTTACCGCTAATCGTGCTGCAGAGGCTCGATTGGATATCCGTGCAAGGGGCTTTTGGTCGCCACAGCAAGATGCATTCTTTGATGTGAGGGTTACTCACCCCTCGGCGTCTTTGCTGTCGCGACAGGAAGTCCTTGCACAGATTTCCCGGAATGAACATCAGAAGAAGCGGGCCTATCTTCAGCGTGTTGTCGATGTCGAGAGGGGGTCATTCACTCCGCTCGTATTTTCGACAAACGGCGTATGTGGCACGGAGTGCTCTCGTGCATTGAAGAACATTGTTCAGCTGGTGGTTAACAAGCATAGTGACCTGCAGTACGCTGTTGTGATGGCACAGCTACGCTGCAAAATTGCATTTGTTTTGCTGAGGTGGTCAATCACGTGCCTCCGTGGTTGCAGAGCGTCTTACTTGAGGAAGAGAATAGGCCCATCTTTTCTCGACCAATGTCGCCTTCTGTCCATGTAACCGCCTTCGGTATTCATATGTTGGCCTATTTAACATTGGCATGCTCTGCGGATTTGTAGGCATGCTAGGCAATTTAAATATTATCCTGCAAAGTATTTTGTAGGTGCTTGACTACTATACTACGTCATGTATAACAATTGGTACATGACTTAATAATAGCCGTTTGGCATGGTACAATAACCTTTTTTGTTTTATTTTTTATTTTTAATGGCTTTCTCTTCTTCGCCGTTTGGCATGGTACAATAACCTTTTTTGTTTTATTTTTTATTTTTAATGGCTTTCTCTTCTTCCTCGGATGGTTTACAATTTGTATCACAATTATTTGTGGGTTCAGCAATAAAGGATGTGACTACTACTACTACTACTACTACTACTACTACTACTACTACTACTACTACTACTACTACTACTACTACTACTACTACTACTACTACTACTACTACTACTACTACTACTACTACTACTACTACTACTACTACTACTACTACTACTACTACTACTACTACTACTACTACTACTACTACTACTACTACTACTACTACTACTACTACTACTACTACTACTACTACTACTACTACTACTACTACTACTACTACTACTACTACTACTACTACTACTACTACTACTACTACTACTACTACTACTACTACTACTACTACTACTACTACTACTACTACTACTACTACTACTACTACTACTACTACTACTACTACTACTACTACTACTACTACTACTACTACTACTACTACTACTACTACTACTACTACTACTACTACTACTACTACTACTACTACTACTACTACTACTACTACTACTACTACTACTACTACTACTACTACTACTACTACTACTACTACTACTACTACTACTACTACTACTACTACTACTACTACTACTAC